ATGGCGGCATATCAAATTCCCGGTGGCCCTTTTTCAGTGTCATAGAAAAAGTTGTCTGGGAAGGATGAGGAAAATGAAAGTTTAATCGAGTCTGTATTCAGATAAAGGCGTAGCCTTCTCTTAAATGTGTGTAGATTTTCTGAAGATCTTATATTTATTGGAAGGTTATTCCAGAGGAAAGTATACCTGGAAGCGAAAAAGGAAACGCTTAAAGGTGGAGGACGGTGGAGGAAGTATAATCAAGGGCGAGTTGCGAAGATTGTACGGGCGACTTCAAGGGGTGAGTGCTGAAATTCAAGGAAAATTTGAACTATGATTAATGCGAAAGAGGAGACAGTAGCGCGCATCTAGTTTTCGAACCCATAAAAATTTTAGGTTAATTAGCCGGCATCGATCTGAGTAGGAGATATTGGGATGTTCCCTGTCTAAAAGTTTTTTAGAAAAACGTCTTAGGACATTTTAAATTTTTAAACGACTGCCTTCATTCATCAAACCAAAGAACGGGCAACAATACTCGAGAATGGGAAGTACAAACATACGATACAGCCTTAATTTAATTTCAGGAAGATAGACATTGTAAGAAATAAAGCCACAAATCTGGGCAGCTTTGGCTGTAATTTTGTTAGTGTGTGGCGGGATATCAAGATTACTAGTGCAGCTTAAACCTAAATCCTTGATGGTGGTACATACAGTCATAGGTGTGACTTGAAAGACCACTGGCTGGGGTAGCCTATCAGGTCCGAAACACATATAGCGGCATTTAGACGGAGAGAATTCCATTAGTCATTTTGAGCTCCAAGCTGAGGGAGCAAGCAAGCCAGCATAGATTTGCTCCAGGCAATGAAGGCTCGTAGATTTTTTGAAAGAATATACACATTTGAGATCATCGGCATAAATAAATGATTGAGAATGTTTAATTGCTGCCGAAATATCATTAATGTAAAGCAAGAACAAAAGAGGACCTAAAACGGCACCATTTACAATAGGGCTTTCACTGGAAAGTGAAGATCCCACCAAAACTTTTTGTTTACGATTAGACAGGTAGGACCTGAGAAAGTCTATTAGTGGACTGCGAATTCCCATAGCTTCCAGTTTACCCAAGAGTCTTTTATGTGGTACTTTATCAAAGGCTTTACTAAGATCAAAATAAATAACGACAACAGATAAATGGTCATTGCGAAGAGAGGTAAGTAGATTGAGAAACGACAGATGACATGTTTCAAAAGAGCGATCCGGTAAAAAACCATGCTGGGAAGGGCTAATAACTTGATCGGCTATGCAAAAGTCAGTAATTTTTACGGTGATACTTTTTTCAAAGATTTTGGCGAGAGAGGGTGTTTTATGGGCACATTGATAGTTCTATACGTCAGAACGACAGCCAGACTTAAATACTGGAATAATAATAGAAGTTTTCCAATAGTCATGGAAGAAGCCATTTACGAGAAATACTGAAAAGATTTTGCTAAGCAGAGGAGTAAAATCTCATAGTTGTTTTATCAAAGAGTTTGGGATATTGTCCGTACCTACTGAGTGAGAGTTAGGAAGATGCCTTATCAGTTTTTGAATACATTCAAGAGAAAAATTAATGATGCTAAGACAACGGAGGAATTAAAGGGATTGGGTCAGTTTCAATGGTGAAATGTTTGGCAAAGAACGAATTTAAAATTGTTGCTTTGCCTGACTCCTCTGTAATGAAGGCATCGCTATTACTAAGCAAAGGCGGAATGACTTGGTGGGACTTAGCAGATGATCTTTGACGGAAGATCTGAGCAACTGATTTAGAAGCGTTCACGTCATTAATAGCTAAATACTCTCTACGCCTATCTCGCGCGAGCCTCATATTCGAAGCTAGTTCAAATATTTCAACGATTCTTAGATGAACTGATAATGAGCTCACAGAAGGATCTTCAAACTGCTTCCGTAACTTTTTAAGTCTGTTTTTAAGAAAGTGTGGGATAGCGGTGGAATTAGCACTCGATTTGAACATCTTTCTTGGAATAAAGTCGAGAAGAACTTCTGATACGCATTGTAATAAATTGTTGAAAAAATTTGGATCACTATTTGAAAAAATATTGTGCCAATCAAGAGTGCATGTAAAATTTTTTACTAATTCCTTTGTAACATTAGCAACGTTAGCCTGCTGCCATCTCCTTTCGAGTTTTGCTGGTCTATACCCGTTGTTTACTAATCGCACTTTGCAATTCTCATTTTGTGCATCCGATTTCCCTCTAACTGTTGTAATTTATTTTTACATCGTTAGCCCCTAGCTGAAATTCAGTCAACTTGTCTGCCAGAAGTTTTCTTAATCACAAATTGTCTCGAGACAAGATGAGAGCAAAAGTCACTGGTCGACGTAAGCTCTCGGCTCTTGTAAGTAAGCATGGCCTAACTAAACGTCAGTCAGAAGCTTTACCTAAATCTAAGTCAGATGATATTACTAGTCAGTCGTCACCCGTTGTAATTGGTCGGCAGCTTAATCTGTCTGCACTTGACCACTGCAATGACTTTATGCTAAAGTTTGGCTCTTTGCTGACAATTCTTGGACATTTATTCGACGGGAACATCTCCGATATTCCCTCTGAAGAACGTAGGCGTCTAGACTCACTTGTTCACCTGATCGCCAGTGAATCTAGTGATAGACAGAAGCGTTCTTACAACTTCCTGCTAAAAAATGTTCCTCCATCTGCTCGGCCAATTGATGTTGCGACCAGTTTCCTGTATTCATGTGGTTTCAACTATAAAATAGCTGATGCCAAACGCTTGTCCTCCCGTAGCAAAAATCCACCCATCTTAGTCAAATTATTTTCATCAATCGAGGTTGACACAATCTTTACTCATCGAGAGCGTGTCACTGCGTACCTAGAGAAGGCAAAATTTTTCCTTTGTCATGATCTTACTCCTATGGAGCGCAGAATCGGGTCTCTATTCTCACGTAAACCTACTGCTTCTCAGTCTAATGCCCCCCAACTCGGTCATAATACAAGTGGCCGTAAGGATTCAGCTTCTCCCACTCCTGCGACATCTGACTCCCTCCTTCCTCTTTCTCCGACATCTCCATCTCACTCAAGCCACTTGACGCATTTGCCTGCCCCTAAACTAGCAGCAACAGCAGCAGCAGCAGCAGCCCCATTTGTCGTTTCGTATCCTCCGGATAGTCCCGCTGAGACACATGAAAATCCGTCTACATCAGCTGGACCGATAACTTCTATTGTCCAACTAGGTGCTGTAAGGTCTACAGCTAAGTCACCAGTGGCTTGGCGTCAGAACGGTGAGGCTCGAAAACTGAATCAGACTCCGACCCAAAAGATAGGTAGTAGAGTTCCGTTTATGGGTACGACGCCTTCTCTTAGATCTTATAAG